TTTTGCTGTGTCTGTCCCTCTTTCCTCCTTTCCCAAGTGTCACAGCAAACTCCTGAGCTTTCATATACTCACTGTGTTAAAATCTAATTACTGGGAAGTACAGACCAGAATGAAAATGCTAAAAGATACACCAGGTGAGGCAATTCCAGATGGCAACTGCTCAGTCCAGAGAGTCAGCCGACAAAGTCCTGCTTGTCAAAGATTGAGCAGAAATAAAGAGATTCAGGGCAAGAATTTTACAGCCATTCAAAGTCCAGTTGGTTGAAGTTGAATGTAGAATGTGTATGCTAAATATTGAATGACAATATGGCTGATTTTTGCTTCTGTGGTGATGGTATTGTTGTGATAGATTAACAATTTATTTTTAGAGCACATAGGTTTATTAATTCGCCTTTTCTACCTGGGAAACTGTTTACAGTGTTGGTGGCAGGCGGGGTGGCGCTGGGCATAGCAGTTCAGATGATGTCACACATCAGCATCCTCTATGAGCAGCAGTTCGAGGCCCAGCTGCTTTACTTCCGATCTAACTTCCTGCCAACGTTCCTGGGAAATCAGAGGAAGATGGGCCAAGTACATGCGCCCCTGAAATGAGGTGGGAGACCTGGGAGAAGCTCCTGAAGACTTCAGCTTCTCCACTTTGCAACCGAATGGGGAGCGAAACAGGGTGGGAGATTCTCTCTCTCTCTCTCTCTTTCTCATATGCATACACAAATACACACACACACTGTATTTATCTACCTCTCTTTGTAACACTGCCTTTCAAACAAATAAATGAATCTTGAAATTAAAATAAAGAAGGTTGCCAATTAAAATATATATCCATGATTGTTTTGTCAGTGTAGAATTCTTCCTTACTTCTGTCATGTGGAACACTGCTTTCTAGAAAATGTGTTCTGCTGTGGAGAAATGGTTTGAAACTCGGATAAAGTATTCTGAGTCCCCTTTCTCTGTTTTATGTAGGACAAATCGGATTTCTCTATGATTTATACATCTGGTTTTAAATTATGACCTTATTAGACTTTGTGACCTTGAAGAAAATCCACTCTTGGTAGGCATTCTTAAATTCATTCAAGGAATTTGTGATTGAGTTTATCTTCAAGTAACAAAATCTTACAAAATTTGGAAATCTCAAATGCACTGTTTTACCCGTCATATTAGAAAGGGATTGACAAATGGGAAACATTTAAGGGTTTCTGTGCTGTCCAGTCTTGGTTTTCATTGTGCAGTCCTGCCTTTTCCATGGGTGAGGCAGCCACAGGAAGTGTGTGCGTGTTGCATTTCAGCTTCTGTGACAGACCCCATCTGAGTCTGTTCTGAACTTCCAAAGATGAAGCTGGCTTTCTGATTTGGTTGTGTGACTCTCATGTGTCAGTTCCTTATCTGAGCAGAACCTTCTCACTTCTCTCCTACTAATTCATTAATGCTTGCTTTTAGTTGCCCCAGTATCACATTCTGGGACAGATTCCTTGCGTAGGTCCATTTGTGGATGGCATGGTTGTATCTCTTGGACTTATAGCAGTATGATCCGTTGGCAGTATGATCCATTGGATTTATAGCAGTATGATCCGTTGGCTTACTCAAGGTTATCCATCAGTGAGCATCACTTAGGGTAGAACTCACTGAGGCCAGGGACTGGTCCTTGTAATGGTGCTGGTACGTGGATTCTGAGTCTCACTGTTGGGGTGCCAGCCAGGCAAGGCTCAGTTGGCACTCAACTGCTGGTGGAATGAGTGCCCCCTGTCCTGTGGGTATTATCCATTATCCCACACAGGTCAACAAGACGGACGTGCAAAGCCTGTGGTTCTGACTGCCTTCACTTAGAAGCTGTAGTAGGTTACTTTTCTAAGCCCTTTCCTTTAAAATGTTGATGAAGCAGAGTGTGAGAAAGAGAGGAAAATCCACTGTCAGCCTGAAAGTTGGTTTATTCCCCTTGGGAGCCTTCTAATTTGCAACATATATGCAAAGGGTTTTTCTGCTGGAGTGGTGAAACAGCCAGATATGTCTCAACAAGGAACTTGAGACTTAATTGGCCCAAGTCCCTTATCAGAAAACGGCAGCTTTTAAAAATGTTATTTAGCAAAGAATCCCAAATCTCGAAAGTTGTATGTAGTTAGTATCTTTCCAACATGTGACCCTAGCTATCAATCATTTATTTCTCAGTATTACATAAATCTTACAGTTCTTTTGAACTGATTTTTGTATTTATTTTGTGACTTTCCAAATGCAGAAGTTTTACATGGATATAGAACCTAAGTTACCTTGTACTTGATCGAATGACCTATTTTTAAATCAAATATAACAAATTTTCAGAATACTTTTATAATTTATTTTTTGTAGCATTCTGTCATGCAATGTATGCTGTGTTTTAAAGTGAACATTTATGGGGCTTTCTTTTCCCTTTTACATGGAGAAGCTTGGGAAGGCAGATCAGAAGGATGAAGTGAACTTTGAGTGTCCCCGACTGCCATGCACTTGTTCGGCACGTCTTGCCAACCTTCCCTACATGGGAAACATTTAGTTAGAATCAATTGTTAGCTTAACTGCTGCAGGAATCTGATTGTTATGTTTAATTGGAATCAATTAAAATCTGTGAAGTTGGCTCCTATGCAATTGATCAACATAAGATTTGGTGCTTATGAGACAAGAGGCAATGAAAATAATTCCTAAACTGAAGTTTATTTGTTTCAAGCCAAAGAAACATGACAGTGACAGGGAAAGGCCAGCCTCATTAAGCTGAGCTTTGTCCGGATGAGATAAATCTCATTTTTTTTTTCACTTTCTTCCTTTTTTAATGACCAGAAAAATGAAAATGAATTTCCTGTTTCATTTTAATGGGCAAAGAGAGAAAGGGAGAACAACTGTGAAGAATTAATTTCCATATTTACTGAGATGGGGAGTTTCTAACTGTACCACTTGCCTTACTGTGGGCAGGTGCCTTTCTGAGTTCTTCCCAGATAAACTGCGCTGTGGTGGATTCTGGTTTCAGAAATCTCCTTCATTTTTCGTTGACTAGGATTCTGTATGTCGGGGGACGAAGGGGGGGATTTCTGCTGCTTTACAGAGTCATCCAAGCTGAAGCGTTAGCAAGTGAAACCAGCCTCCACATTGTATTTCACAGTGAAACAGTCATCCGTGTGTGTGTTTGTATGTACGTGTACATGTATGGGATTTGCCATACATTCAGGTGCCCACCTGTGTCTGTTTTTGCATTTATGTATTGTGTGCTGTAAGTCTCTTTAGAGAATGACAAACATTCCTGAAGTGAGGGTTGAGCATGTCTGATTTCAGTGCAGAGTGGCAGAGAGGACCTAGGAGGAAGTCAGTGTGTGAAATGCACAGTGCATGGAAATGACTCCGTCTGCTTGGAATTCAAAAGCAGCAGGAGAAGTATGGATGCAAAAATGAAGAATTTTGACTGTTAGAGATAGCTGGCCAGGGCCGTGATGTAAAGGAATCATGTAATCCTGTTCATCTGAAGATGGCTAGAGAACATCATGGCGGGGACGCTCTGGGGACGAGTGCCCAGCAGGTGCGTCCTCAATCCCTCATCTGTGCCACGCTGAAGCCACACACAGTGGCATGTGCTCCTGTCTTCTGCTGCATGCCCCGGATTCCTGGTCTGGAGCAGCAGCTTGGCTGGTGTGGACTGTGGCAGGTGTGTTTGTCTGAGACGGAGGGAGGGTAAATAACTTTGGTGCTTTTTTATTTTTAGTTTAGAAATCATTTATTTTGGAGAACAATAGCATTTCCTACTCTGTGCTCATTCACATTTGGCTTCTTTGGGGCAGATTTCCAAACCCAAAAACAAAACTTTCAGTATTTACATAGCCTGCAGAGCAAATTCAAGACCAGAAACAAAATTTCAGTAATTCCCCCGTATGTAGGTTGATTGAAGATTTTTTAAAATTCTATAAATTATTTTCAAATATTGCTAGAATTTAACTGCTACTCTTTGTAGACTTTAAGATAAACAGCTTATGGAAAACTCAAAATAACGCATGTTAAGCTTGGCTGAACTCAAAATATGTTTTTTAGATGTAAGTTGAAAAGTTGACATCTCACATGCTGTGATTGGATACGTTTTTATAGCTTTTTTTAAAAGCTTACTCTGAAATAATAATTTCATGTGAAACATTTTACACTGAAGTGTATTTTCAACATTATTAATAATTTTGCAAAGGCCAAATTCTAGTTTTGGTGGATGAATAGGTAGGTTGGCGAGGTTTCTTTGGAGAGACAAAGCTGATAGGTGGGGTGTGTGTGTGTGTGTGTGTGTGTGTGTGTGTGTGTGTGTGTGTGTGTGTGTGTATGTGTTTTGAAATCTAGTAAGCCACTGTTTCATGTGCTTATAACTACTGTCAATGGTATAGGGGAGGCAATAAGACAGGCTTGCTCAGGAGTTGAGACTGCAGTTATGGACTGAATCCTCATCTGGGGACCGTGAGGCTGGTGCCCTGATTTTGGACCATGTGCTGGGAGTTCTGACTTGCACAAAACTTTCCATTCCATTTCATTTTAATTTTCTGCTTTTAAAAATTAAAGATTTATCTATTTGTTTGAAAGACAGGGTTGCACACACACATGCACTGAGAGAGAGAGAGAGAATGGTCTTCCATCCACTTTTCACTCCCTGAATGCTCACAGCGATCAGGACTGGCTGGGCTGAAGCTGGGAGCCCAGAGCTACTTCTGAATCTCCCATGCACATTCAGAGGCTCACGCACTTGGTCCATCTTCTGCTGCTTTTCCAGGCACATCAGCAGGAAGTTGGATTGAAAGTGTAGTAGCCTGGACTTGAACCAGCACATATATGAGATGCTGGCATTGGATGCTGTGGCTTTACCCACTATGCTGCAACACTGGCACCTATGTTGATCTTTTCTGTTCAGGCCTTCTGTTTGGGAAGACCCAGCCACACATCAGAGAATAGTCCACTTCACTCGAAATCATCTCCCTGTGGGTCAGTTTCTTCTACATACTCTCAAACCGACAACCTTAAGGCACCTCATGATCTAAGCACGTTGACACCAAAAATTTGGCACAGTAGGTAATGTTTGATTATACAAGTCTGTGCTGTGTTTTCCCCTTTAATTCTACCACCGTTCTTAAATCCACTTGCAAATAACACCCGAATAGCACTGTATTATGTCTTGAGTGTCATTCTGTCGTCTGAAATTTAAGTTTTTCATGGAAAGAAGGTGATGGCAATTCTGTCTCCTCAGAAGGTTACCGATCACAAGAAACTGTCACGTTCGTTGTTCTGCAGCATTCTGCAAAGCTGTGCTTGCAGACCCAGCTCCCAAGTTAGCTTCTTTAACAGCCGCAAAAGTGAAGTCAAAGGCCAAAGAATTCTGCACTGACCTTGAGCCACCCAACAAGGATGTGCAAGCAGGTGCACCTACATGATCCCAGGCTTGCGTAACCTCATCTGTCTTCCCTGTGTACGATGCCTTGTCTAACATTGTGCAGAAGGTTGCGACATTATGGTGAGATGCTGTCTTACTCGTCCTGATTTCCCTGCCGTAAAGAATAGCTCAATCCGGGGGAAGAAGTTCACGATCAAATTAACTCAATAATGTTTTCTTCTTTTTCAACAAGCTTTAGACCTGAAACAACACGGCTGTACTTCAAAAGTTCATGGAGAAAGAAATTAAAGATAAATTATTTTGCTGAAAATATTAGGTATCTGCATGTGAGGAGATTCTTCAAAGCGTTGGACTCACACTGTTGACTTGCATCTCCTAACGGGGTCTTCATGTCTAATCCCTTGGGGAATATCTCTCAGTTTGTCAACCCCCTACAGTGTGTAACAACCAGACCAAAAAATATCAACGACACTGACATGAAATTGTCATTTCCCCTACCTAACCCATTCTATCAGAGGTGTTGGTATGCCTTCATTAAAAGCAAGCCATGAACATGCCCACATTCCCTCCCAAGCAGTAAATCCATTTCTATCCATCTTTCAAAGCCCAGGTGCCTCTCAGTGGCCTCCCCTTTGCTGCATCAACCCTGGTCTTCTCCCTTTATTTTGTGTAGTGCCTTGTCAATTATCCCCCCTGCCTCTAAGTGTTCCCGGTTTCAGTTCATTCTATATATTGTCTCTTAACATCTTTAAAATATTACAACTATGTTCAAAATATTTCACATTACCTTTTATAAAACACAGGGCTTCAGTCTGACATAGGGGGAAGTTAGCACAGATTGGGCTTAAATTCTGTTACCAGCAGGGAGTACCAGTGGAACCACAACTTGAGTATGGGTCCCCAAACTTCTGACCTCAACATCCTAAAATCAACCATGGCTAGGGTCTGCTTGTATCCTAAACTGTAAGCTAAGCCTGAATTAGAATAAAGATCACATAATCTATCCCCCAGTGGGGGTTGTGAGAATTATGGGACAGATACAAAGAGTCACATGGTATAAGATAAGCTGGTATACCAGGGATGTGCCCTACTGAGGATCTGCATTGTTGAAGTACATGGTTGGCTCCGAAAAGGCTCGATGTTTGTGCTTATTTTGTGCATCCCTCTATAGTTGCTTGAGTTAAAGCAAGGTTTCGGTGACTGCACTGAGTGTCCGATTATGTTACATGAATTACAGCCAGCTATGGCCAAACATGTCCAGCAGTTAATCAAAACTAACCCATTGCAGATTCTGTAATCACTGAAAGCGTGATCACTTCTCGGTGATGGTCTTCATTTCAGCCTGTGTCCCACCTGTTTGCATGCAATGGAAACTTGGTTTGCCAGTACATTTATCCTAGAATATGCATCTATCTTCAGAAACCCTTGCTGCTTATACCCTTTAGGGTCTGTTAAAAGTCTTAAAGGGAAAGTCAGTTCCACCCAAGTATCCCTGTTTCTCCCCGCTTCACCCATGACCAGCCTACACGGAGAATCCTCCAGTCGACTGAGTGAAAAGGAAAGACGCCTTCACTGGTGGCCTTGCTGTCAGGAGAGGAGCACAGGTGGGGGAGGAGCAGCACTGGCTGGCCCTCCCTCAGCTCACCGTGGCTTAGAGCCCTTGTATCCTTGTATCCTTGCATTAACCCTAGCTTTCTAGCATCCCAGCAGCCCCCGAGCCTCCTTTTTTAGCATTTGGCAAGACGAATGTCTTAGCTATTGCAGGATTTTAACATGAAATATCCCCCCTCCAACCAGCAGACCAACAAAGACGACTATGGCCCAAGAAGCAGAAGAAAAAGAAAGTTTGTCAAAGACAACTGCAGTTCTCACCCAAGCTTATTATTACAATTGATCACGTTTATGAAACTCACGCTTATAACCCAAGTAGGATAGTCACAGTGTAATGTAAAGAATCCTCTCCATGTACTGCTTGACAACTTTATTTCCACTGCAAACTGGCCCTGTGGCTCACATAAGTTATCCAGCGGCAGGATACCACGGGGGGTTATGCTGCCATATGTCACGGGTTATAAACACCGTAATAATGTTGCAGACAATTTGTTCAGATATCTAAACCCAACTGGAAAAATGACTTCCTCTGCCTCAGCTGCCATTCTTCCTGTAGTCATCTTGACCATTTCTTCCCATTATCGGGTTTCTGGGGAGACAACTCTGCTGGCTGATGCTGTATTTTCAGAGCCGTCATTCGGAGAAATAAAAACATAGCAAATGACTGCATGTAAATGTAGAAGCACGAAGTCCATGCATTTTATTGTCTACATTGCATTTTCTCTTCCTATACAAAGGATTGTGTTGCCTTGAAATCTCCCTTTTATTCTCCTGTGCTGGAAACAGTGGAGAAAGACATTCACACTTTACGACAGGAGTGTCATCAACTCTCCTGGATGGGGTTGGAGCCATTACGAAGTGCTGGGGTTTCTCTTGCAGTGGCTTTGTGTATTTGCTTATTTTGTGTATCTCTGCAGGAACTATACAGGCAAGCAGAGGTTAATGACAGTCTTCCAATCCCAGTGAGCGTTGTCTGAGACCAACAAAGCTAGATGCAAAACTCCTGCTGAAATGTCCCCATTCTCAGTGATGCGTTGAAGCCACTAGGGCCATATTCTGCATGGAGCTAGCAGGCACACGCTCCTGGGCTTGGAAGCTTGTTACACTTGAGTCGCTGCCTCATGAGACAGAACTTTGAGGTGGTTCAGACCCAGGTGGCCCAGGGAGCAATTCTTCACGGGTCAGTTGCCAGTGATAAGGCTGCCCAGAGGGGCAGCCCACATACCACCAAGATGGCGTCTCTTTAGTGTTGCGCAGGGCGTTGCAGAAGCACACAGGCTGTGCACACCACCAAGTGAATAAACACGCCACCAGGGACGCGTGCTGGAGCACGTGGCGATGAATGCTTCCCGTTGTAGGCCAGCCTTGCTTTAGGTTGATTCTGCCGCCTGCGTGTCTCCTGATTGCCAGCCAGTTCAGTACTGATGCCTTCTCAGCCTTTGCAAGCCCTTCCAAAACGCCCAAGTTCAACCTACATGCTTCCCGCAACCATCCATGCAGCTTAAAGCAGCGTGTGACTCCGAGTCACGGGAGATGGCTACTGATGTTGGACCTCGTGTTGGGTGCCACGCATGGACGCATGTCTGACAGGCGCCTAGGCAAGTCCAAACAGGCGCTCTGTGGAAACGCTTGCCTCTGAAACTGTGGGCATCTTATAAACTCTGGTGGATATTTTTGGTAGTTTGGAAAAAGCATGAAGAAACGAGGACGCACAAAAATAAAACTGAAGCTAAGGAAGAAAGGCATGGAGGATAAGGGAAATGCGCTTCATTGGATGAAGGGCTTCCCGAGTCCAAGGGAGCCTTTCTCTCTTCCAGCAGCCTGTGTTATATTTATCTCCTGGGCTCCTAAGGTAACAAGGAGAAAAAAGAAGATAAAAGGAGAGAACAGGGAGCTATATTTTCTTTTCTCCTTTCAGTCAGTTTCTTGGTACAAACAAATGTAGCATGGTGGCCGAAAGAATCCTCGCCATTTCAGGGCAAGTGGATTTTAAAAAGAGAAGATAAATCACTTCTTTCCAAAGCTGGATTTCCGCCTCACCTTGAGTGAAATAGCTTTCTAAAAAGAGGTGTGTGAAAAAATAGAACACTAGAACCGTGCCCGGGTGTCTTCAGACAGGCTGCTGTGGTCTTTGGGACCTTGCATTTGGAGGGGTCAGTGTATGGCGTTGTGTGAATGAGAGGATTCCTCTTGTGAGGTGGAGAGGGTGTTGGTTTTGGTGTCCGGAGCTCCACAGCAAGGCAGGCCGACTTGAGGTGGGGTGGAGCAGCAGCGTGTGGCTCATGGCTGCACCCAGCATTGTTGTGCTGCGTCTCTTCCTCGAGCCGGGCGCTTGGCTCTGTGCTGGGGCATAATGGTGAACTAATGTTTTTGCATCTTCTACAAAGAAAGAACATTCTGCTTTCTGAAGAGGTGGAGGGGGTGGGGAGCATGAATAATTTGATTCACCCCAGGGTTTACACACCCGTCGACAGTGACCTCTTGGCCATTGTTGCGTCTGTCTAGACCTGATCCAGGCTTCGAAGAACATCTCTCCCTCGGTTACTTGGCAGTGACATAATCCCCCTCATTTTTGGTCGTCTACTCTCATGTTTTAAGCAAGTATTTTGCTACCAAGGAAATCCCAAACCTGCCTTGCCCTCAAGTCAACGAGCGAGTTCGAGTGTGAGGCATCCTTTTTACGTGTGCGGTTAAGATTTGTCACCATTTCCACAGTGTTGGTAGTAGTGCTTTCTTTCTTGCTGGTTCTATACTATTCTTTATGTTCCTAAATGAGTTTATATTGAATATTGGAAATTAGATAAGTCTTCAGTAAGAATGCTTTCATCAGGCTTGGAAATTATTTTGCAGAGAAAAAGTCAAAAGCAGGCAAAAAATAATTTACCCAAATCAATTTAAAATATAAAGTATCTTTGAAAATGCGTGTGTGTGTGTTCAAAGAAAATTCTGAATATCTCAGAGAAAAATGAATATAAAGTCAGTACAGATTTAACAGTTCAGGAGGAAGTGAGTGATTCTGCTATGGTATCTCACCACTAACGTGGTGCAGGATGGCAGACTCAGAAA